AGTGTGATTAATTTAACGAGAATCAAGGTTTCATGCAGAAAAACAGCATTTATCAATTATCTTCAAAACTTCCGAAAACTATCTCCGATGCAAAGTGAATCACCATGTCGAAACTACCATGCACATGAGAATCTAACCTCATGATTCATGAAACAGCATTTTTATGAATATGCAGCTTGTTTTCAACATAGACAATACAAAGACGGGAAAAAGGTCTCAGCTTCAACACTCCACCTGCCACTAAGGCAACAAACATATTTCGACTAACAAACGTACCAGAAAATTGATTTTTTTCCACATCAACTCAGCGCACTAAACTCAGATTCAATCATTTATCATACCATCATTTAGTACCAGAAAGCATATTTCTACGAATACAATGAGTACCACTAAACATCTCATGCAATTTCCATTCAGTTTATTCAAAAACACTACCGAAAAAGTTATTCACATCCTTCAAGGTGCTAGAACCACAACCGAAAAAGTATATTCAGAAACATCAAGAGAGGTAAAAGACGTCACCCTACGAAAACTAGAAAACCAACATTCATACACCCAGTTCTTTGTTCCAATAACCAAGGCATAACTCGCTCTACTTTCCGATACATACTACTCCTTCATTCCCGCACCATCATTGCTTCGAATTCGCAGCAATATGTTCACTGAATTCCATCCTATCTACTCCACATAAGTAAGTATCAATCGGAGCCCATCTTTAGAACCCAAAAATTAACTAGAAAAAAATCCGCATCATGATTCCCTAGTTAACGACACACATGCTGTTCACGAAAAATTCTCTTTTCGAAATCCAAATTTCATAAAGATTTCAGGCCCAGCAATCATTCTCCGATTTGTTAAGCAGCAACCGCTATATTTATACCAGGATTTACTTCATATTTCACTCCATCACTTCTCCTATGAATCCGAAATTCCTGATTTCGAAATCCGAATTTCTTGAAGATTTCTGATCGAGCAACCATCCACCGATTCCTTTAGCAGGAACACCTCCATATATACCAGGATTTACTTTCTCACTCAACCATACTCTTCGTCTTTGCTCTCGAATAATCCCACTTTTGAAATCCTGATTTCCTGTAAGATTTCTAGTCGAGTATTCATTCACCGACTTGTTTAGCAGCTACATCTCTATATATACCAGGATTTAGTTTGCCCTTACAGTACATTCGAAGTGTCGAAAGGTGAGTGTTTTTATAAGTTTATTCCTCTCCCGTTGCAATCCAAATTACGACAAAAAGAAGGGTGCGCCACTATAAAGACGGGAGTTACGGGATTAATTTACGCTGTTGAGTGCAATGAAAGGATACTTACGTACATTGTAGCAGTCTTCTCACAGTTTAGCTATATTGGAATGAAGTAAAATTGTCACTAGTATCAGACCCAAGACGTAATCCAAAAGCAAGCGATTTAGAATGCGTGTGCAGTGATGAGAATCTTTTGATGGCACCCAGGTGATATCAAAATCGTATCGAATTGAGAGACTGAAGAAATCCATGTGAAATCCATATGAAATCCATGTGAAATCCGAACGAAATCCAAATGAAATCCTGGTGAAATCCTTTCCATATGTGTGACCGAAAACGGTCGGTTACATTGATTTACGATCGTTTACGTCCTTGTAAACTGTCGTCTTCGTCATAATACGGCCGTGTTACGGCAAAGATTTTGGTGTAAACGATTGTCGTTTTTCGCCGTATACGACACGGTCTCACACGACCGTAATACGGCGCATACCAAACGGGTTATTTACGGCCCGTATACGGTCGTAATTTCGACGGATACGGCCGTTCACGTCATCGTAAACGACTGTGTACGGCCGTTTACGGGCACAGTAATGTTCGACCTGGGCTCATTTCCACTTTATGAAATTGTATAATACAGCAATAGAAACTATACCTAATAGTTGGTTTTGCTGTAAAGCCCTCTTGAAGGTGCAGGTGAAGGTATGACTGTTTTCTCGTCAGCATAACCTATGTAGAACAACACCCACACCTACATAAAACTATTTTTATCACAACTTTAAACAGTGCGAATGAAAAAGAATAAGTGATGAGGGTATGTGGCTATTGGTGTGGGCTAGAGTATGGGTGTGATTGTGTGAAATGTGAATGGCGTCAGTGTAGGTTCAGGTGTTGGTGTTTATCTTGTAAGCACGCAGTCATACACTAAATACTCGCTGCTAATAAGCACTTTCTAATGAGATTGCATAGCTCTAAGCGCTCCGAAGTGAGTCAATATTTATGCACATAAAAATCTTTATAGTTTATGAGAGGAATTTGCGTTCGATCCGAAATTTCAATAATTTCTTGAACTGGACGGAAGTGCTGATCTTCCTGAGAAATCTCAAAAGTTATATGAATTTTAATCAGTTTCCCTGTGGAGTTGTAATAATGAAGTCTTGCCGGATAGAAGTAGCTTTTTAATTAAAATACGACATGGACTTCTTTTTCACTAGTTGAGTTCTTTTCTTTTTGAACCGAGCGCTTTTTCACCTGCTCTTTCGTGATTCAGTGAAGAGGTTTAACAGGTCGGTACGGTCCAAATGAAAAATTTCACCTGATTCCAATGCAATTGCAAATATGCGGCTACGAGATATGGGATGTGGATGCTTGACGGTGCTGGTTTTGAAATAATTGTGATTGTGATTGTGACTGTTACTGTGGGTCTACGTATATACGTTTGAGTGTTTATGTGTGTGCATGTATGGAGGCAAGTATAGCTGTGATTGCTTTGATTTCTGTATATGTTGGTTTATGGTCGAGGGTGACGCAAGAACGAAAATACACTCACCCCATATTGCAAACTTATTCTTCGCTACACACATACCGACACTCGTTTTTTATATTTTGTTGAAGTGAAAAATGATTTTTCAATTCGGATTTCTATTCTTGTGTCAGTTTTTCCCAAAAAAGCGATAATTCTTTTGAACATCGGAAAATGGGATAATGACCATCCTAATATTGTTCGCTGAACAGATCGAAAATTTCTTTCAACTTATAAAAGATTAATTATATTTTATTTTAATCACTAAAAGTCTAAATTCATATCCTCGTATTAGTTTGGTTTATTTTATCTAATCAGCGAATAAGACACAGGTGAATCGTAGGTAATCGATCTATAAGAACATGATGATTTCGAAGTGCTGGTATGCATTGTAAAAAGAATTATTGTGCATTTTAAAAGATCTATGACGTCGTTTTCTACTATTTTCAAGTGAATATTTGTTAATATTTGACACAATGAATCATTATCAAGTGAAAATTTCCATTTATGAATCGCAAAACAGATACTTTGTAAGTTTAGAAGATGACGATTATTTCGTACACTAAGAATATCACTTTACCTGCAAAAAAAGATGAAATATTTTAATTATAAATCAAATTAATCAAGTTTTTTCCGTCAATTAACATGGATGAAGTGAAACACTCAAGTGAGGAACTGACTAGAACAGCACGTCTTTCTTTCTCTTTCTCTCGATCGAATCGACTACGCCTAGAATCAATAAACAATTTTTTTCATATTCTTTTTTTCAACAATCAGAAACACGAAAGAAAAGAGCGTGGCTTATATTAATGCTAGGCTTCTTGCGCATTATTAATAACTTCATCAGAATATAATATTTGTCTACTCTGGAAAGAAAAGTAATTAGAATTTTTATTTCGATGTGTTGCTAAAGAATTTGTTTCTTTTGATCATTGACATATGGAGTTTTTAATCTTCAAATATATGTATTAGGATTTTTCATAGACATGTTGTGAAGGATCATGAATGGGTGAAACTCTTTTTTTCAACATCGACGGTAAATAAATATGAAAAATAGCTAGGAAAAAAATGGTACAACTACATAAAAATTTGAATCTACTTTTTCAAAATATTTTTAATATAGAATGATATTTCAATATTTATTTATCGATGATCATTAATAGACCGTTGTTCTTATAAAAAAGGAGCTCTTTATTCATATTGAGCATCATATGTTTAGTCGTGTTAGACCTGCTTAAAATTCGATATTCTTCGACATTGTGAAGTTATAGCTTATAAAGAGTATCGGGTATTCATCATACTAAACAAAACTAACATTTTTTTTTGTAGTCTAAATATAAAAATCTTTATTTATAATTATAACAGTTTAATTAGGATAATAAATGAATAAATCTCGAAATGTTATTTATAGTAAAAATATTTGAAAAAGTAGTTTGATATTATTAGTTGTCCAATTCTATTTTCCTCGCTGCAATTATATGATATCTACCCATAAAAAGTTTATTTTTTTAATATGAATAAATAGTCTCCCTCGGACAAAAACAACGGTCTTTTTCCATTTCATTTTTGCATCACTTAATAAGTTGTTTTAGAAAAACAAAATTTACCAGGAGATGCAGCGTGAAAAGAACTACAATGTGCAAAGTAAAGCTTATTTTAATTTTGTACTTTTTGTTTTCAAAAGAAGCAAAATTGTGTGCGACCAATTTTCGACGCTGGGAAAAAATCATTTTTTTCTATGCGAACGAGAAATGCCTTTTTCCTTGTTTCATCTTTTTATCAACTAATATGTTTTTGTAAAAAAAAATAAAATATACCACAATATGTAACGTGAAAAGCTCTACAATTTACGCAGAACAGTTTATTGAAATAAGAAGAAAGGAATTTTTCATTGGTTTAGAAAAATGATCCTTTCGCAGCGTCGAATATTAGTCGCACGGAATTTTGCTTTTTTGAAAACAAAAAGTACAGAATTAAAATAAGATTTACTTTGTAAATTGTAGTTCTTTTCACGCTGCATCTCCTGGTATATATTTTTTTTTTAAAACAACGTATTAAGTGATGCAAAAATGAAATGGAAAAAGGCCGTTTTTTTTGTCCGAGGGAGACTCTAGACTAGACCATAGTTTCACCAATAGTAAAGAATTTTAGAAAATACAATGCCTCTGACGTGCATTCCATATCCAAGGAAAGGTGAACCGATACGAGTACGACGTAGATCAGATTCTCCACCAACTCCCGCAACACCGACGACTGCCGTGGTGAATGAAGAAAATGAAATTGATTATTCACCTCTTATTCAGCAGCAAGCTGACGGTAAGAAAATACAACACATTTCTATGTTGATTAATCGAATTTGAAAATAGGTATTCGACTTCAAAAGAACCTTCGATTGATGGTTAAAGAAATGTGTAGTATTCAAAAAAAATATTTCAATGATTTGAAAGCATGGAGTAGAAAATGGAGTTGCGCATTCGAACAGGATACTTCTTCTCTAGCTTCTTATGAAACTACACAACATATGCTCTCGTCCGTGAGCTCAATCGGACATGAACTGGCTAAAAAAATCGATAATTCCCATCGTGAACTTCGACAAGTTTTAGATTTGATTCCAAGAAAAGAACGATATCTATCACGACAATCCCAGCTTGAACAAGTACGTGCATCGATCAATCGAGCTGAAAGTGATTGGAATGCATACAATAAAAGATTAAACAAACTTAATGATCAACTACGTCGAATTAAAAATCAATTGAAAGATATATCATTAAATCACACAGAAAAATCGGATTTGAAAATGCAACAAAGAAATGTAGAGGATAGTATTGAGCAAGCAGAAAAAGACGTTGAATATGCCAAAAAACTATATCAACGAGCCGAGAAAAACTATTGCAAAGATACTGATGCTATATTTGAACAAAGTCAAGAAGATGAGCTTGATCGACTTGAATCATTGCGTGATCCGTTAGTGATTTTCCTTGGAGCGTTTGAAATAAAACATGGTTCATGGCAACAAGCAATAGAAAATCATGATCCTCAACGAGATCTTAATGCATGGAAGCAGAAATTCTTTTCTCAAAAAATCAGATTACCAAACACACAATAAAATATGGTCAACGCAGCTTTTCCAACAAACTTTAGCTCTCGTTTTTTTTCTTTACATTGTTAATTAAGCTGTTAATAAAGTCTCGAGTAAAATTTGATAATTGTTTGTGATTCAATAATTCAAAGATTCCGCTGTGATGATGATTTCAAAGACATCATCGTATACAATGGAGACCTGCAAGTGTACAAATTCTGATGTCTTCCCAGAGTCATAATTGCGACGAATACATAGGACCACAAACAGAGATTAAAGTTACCAGAAAAGTACGTCAACAGTAGAACTACGATCGTACATGGACTGTAAATCATTGTTATGGCAGGGACAGTATTATGATCGTATGATGCTGTGTCATTTACAGGAAAATACACACATCGGTTAAACTAATATCTGTACCACAATACAATCATTTTCTAACGGACACGGCAGGATACATTAACGTTTACGATCGCACATAAATTATCAAACTGTACATCTCAATATTGGAATTATCTTTTAATAAGAATCTATTTCGCTACAATAACGTGGCTATTTAATTTGGCAACACATTCTTGATCGCAACGTATTTTCTGCGGGAAGAAAAGAGCAACACAATCTCTTCAGTGCTTATGTAGCACATTCTATTTTAGTGTATGACTATAGACTGTATATCAATAAGATTTCGTTATAATATATGAACTACTTTCTTATTGCATTGCAGGAAGGATTAAGTAAAAGGATGGTGAAAAAATGTATTCCAAAATAGAATGAATAAAACAATCACCCTGTAATTAAAATCAGCACTTCAATCTTGCAAGGATTGTGGTAATAGCTTTTGTTGTTATAAGAGAGTACGATTCCAAAAAAACAATATTATTATTATGTTTGTGTTATCTCATAATGCAATCAAGTTAAAAGATAACAAAAAGGCCATAACAAATGTCGATCATAACAATAATGATAAATTGTTTTGCTATAGTTCCTTTTTCTTTTTAATTCTTTGTGTGCAATCTGTTAATAAGAAAAAAACCCTAATCTTTATGATCATTTGTTCAAGTGTTTTCCAGAGTAAGTCCTACTAAAGCGAGTACTGTTCCCATCCTTAATACTTCAGTTTCCATATCGTGAAAAAAATGATTTACTATTATTCAATATGATCATTAGAAAATATTAAAATATTCTATATAATCAATAGCGTGTAAGTCTCGGTACAAAATGTTCGTTCATTTTTCAGCCATTTTTATAGCAATAGTTGAGAACTAGAATCAGTCTGTTTGAATGAAATTATTATACTCTTCTCGAATATATCTTATACTTTTCTTCTTACATAAGCTGTCAAGTAAGAACAAATTTCCGAAATCGTCTACAATGCTACTTGGGCAGAATTTTATTTTCATCACTTTCGAATTGCGACTGATACCTAAGTAATACAATGTGTGAAACGATTTTAATGGTTTAGTTTTGTAGACCAAACTTTGCTCTACAAAATTTGCTGTGTGTTTTTGTTTTATCTTGCACTGAAGATTTGAAATGTTTTGTATTTAAAAACAAAATAATTTTTGAAAAGTCGAATTTTTCGCAAATATCACTTAACATCAAAAATAGTACTTTGGAAAAAATGTATCACTTTAAAATGATTTGAAATTTCTTCTATCGTAATAGTTCATTCTGTAGAGAATTGCATGTTCCATAATAACGTTAAGTTAAAACCGTTCCATAATACAAAATAAATAAACTAAAAATTGCATAAAGTTTCCTATTTCACCTTGTAAAGACATCATTTTGGATCCTCGAAAAAATTTGCTCATTATTGAGTAAATTTATGTGAGAAGAAAATTCCGAATATAAACTCGAAAAGATCATAAAATTTTGACTCTATAGCCAACTTCTTTTGATTTTCACCATTTTGCTTCTTTGTGGTCGAAAAATGAGCGACTATTTTTCGCCAAGACTTTCCTACCATAGATTACTATTTTATATAATGATGACATAGATTTAAAGAAAAGTCTATATGTCTCATTTTGGAAAACTACTATTCCTATTTTTGAGGAAAAAACAACATCATTTTAATTATTGATAGATGAAAGACTTCATAAACTATGAAATGACATATCTGACCAAATAGTACGCCAATAGTTCAGATAATAAGATAGACTGAACTTCTGTACTCCAACGGTACATCAATCGTCAATTTTTAATCAGCACTAGACCTATTTTCTTCATCAAAACACAATGTTATTTGAGGAATTTATTGAAACTGAAGAACATGATGTTAACGAGCGACCTCTGCATAAGATCTGATTACAAAATAAAAGTTTCTTAAAAAATGACAAACTTCTTTCTCATAAAAATCTGGAAAAGGATTTAAATACTAAATAATTAATAAAGTTTCAATGTTAGATAATGCCATTGTCATTAACAACAGTAATGAAAATGGTAGTTGTTATTAACTGATGTTTTCTACGTAATACAGAACTTTCTATAATTTTGATTTTAAAAATTTCTATTGATAATGTTCAAATTACCTGATCAAGTTCATGCTGAGATTCATCATGCTTCACTCAGTAATAAATGCACATCAGAACTTGAACCTGAAGATGTCAATGCTTGGACTAAGTAAACTGACTTTTTAAGATATATTTCTTTTCTTAATAAAACGACTATAAAATATTTAGGTTCTTTGATGACTCACACACACTTGATGAAGAGGATCGTAGTCGAATAAATCATATATTTAATAAACTCGTAACAAACATTGTTAAATATGAGCGGTAACTCAAGTTTTAGGAATGATTTTTTTTTTCTATAAACGTATTTCGTCTATATAGAGAACAAGATTTTCAATTACTTGAAGCGCTTGCTAAAAGATTATTATCTGCTGATAAAAATAGAAAGGACAATGAGGAACCATTCATCTTAACGTCGTATGATCAAGAACGATTAATAAAACTTCGAACAATTTGCAAACGTTTAAAACATTATAGCTCTATTGAAAAATTACTTTCTACTATGTTCACTCGAGTATTTTCATAATAGATTTTTTTCTAAAGAACTAGTTAGTTTTTTTTTTCAGGATAAATCACGCGAATTAATCCTTCCACCAATTAAGAAAACAACTCATCAAACACGTTCATCGTCTCTTTCCTTTGATGACACTCATATTGCTTTACCAGTTACCAAGAGACAGCGAAGATCAGACATCGAATCTCCAACTTCAGTAAGTGACGTATTCTATTCCAATTCATATAGAGATTAAATACAAGTAGAATTCGTGTATATAATTATTTAGAATTGTAGCAATTTGTTTTTTGATAAGTATAATACAAAATTTCGCTCTCTATGCTTTGGTTTTTATTTTTAAAAAAATCTACCAGTTTGATAAAAAGAAAACTAATTAACATGATTTATTTAGATTCATTCGAAATCAAAACAAATAATGATGCATGGTCCAATAACATTACAAAATATTTATCAAGCAATACCAGCAGCAACACTTCAATTTGCTGAAGGTTAATTCATTTCCATCTTATAAGATATTTAAAATGAATTATTTTTATAGACGAATATGTTTGGCATGCTAATCGGCCCGTAAATATGATATTAGCAACAGGAGTTCAATTACCAAATGTTTTAACAGAATCAGCAGTCAATACTAATATTGAAAGTGAACAATTCTTTTCAAAAATGATTGAAGATATTATTGTTGAATATCAGAAACGACATCCAAGTGATCATTATGCAGCATTAAAACAATGGAAAGAAAAACATGTAAAATAACTCATTCATTTCGTTTTGCTGAAAGCGTTTATCAATTATTCTTTTTCGAGTCTAATGGAGGGTCATATTTGAAAAATTGAAGAAAAAAAACTAAAGATCACATTGATGTTCTTCTAATCAATTTTATCATTGTTTCTAACAGGTTCAATGTTGAATTATACTAATAGTCTAACTCTATTCCTAAGTCTTCAATAGATGCTCATAATAACGAGTTTTGAATAAAGTTCGTCATAGACAATATATTAATTAGGATTAAGAAGAAACAAAGAAGTCAATAAACTAGTCACTAATTAATCGACCGATTAAGTTCTATTTTTGATAAACAGCATGAATGAACGCTAAATAAAAGATAAAGGAAAATAAGTAGACAAACTCAAAATGAAACTTTCAATTATTTTGCTTTACATTGATGTCCATAGACGTAAATCTCTTTCTGTTCGTACCATTTAGTGATCGCTTGAATTTATTGTAAGATTTCCTTTAAACTAATGTTTTATCTATGTGAATGAATTCCTTAGATGACACATTAGAAAGAATGAGAACTATTACACTTGAACAAATTCAACGGTTTTGTTTTTAATTCAAAGATCCCTATGAATATTTAAAAACAATATATTCAGTAGAAAAATTTTCTTTGAAATGTAATTTATTGTATAAACATGATATGAGAAAGAAATTTTCTAAATAAATATTTATTATTTATAATAAGGTAGTTCTATTTTGTTTGAAGGAAAATGATCAATACACTCAATCAATGACACCTCGTCGAATGAATGGATTTGAAACACTTATTGATGTTGTTCAACGACGTCATTTAGGAAAATTACAACGATATTTTCTTAATGTTGTTTCAACTAATCGTCATTTTAATCCATATGATTTAATTACAGTACCTGAATATAAAGTACAATTTTGTTTTTATTTATTTGATTA